TTTTTTTTTTTTTGGTTCTTTTTTTGTTTTTGGTTTTGTTTTTTTGCTTGTTTGTTTTTTTTTTTTTTTCCTGCACACATCTTGGCGTGGTTTGCTGTATTTATTTGTTTCTGACTTTGGATGTGCTTGCTAACCCCTCTAAGGAATAAATTGGCCACCAATCCTTATGCGGGGAGATCGTTGCCATGCAGGCATTGCCTAGGCGCTAGCGCCTTAGAAAGGTAAATTCCAGCAATTTAACCAGACAGAGCGACCGTACTGCTGCTTAAAAATCACCGGCCTGGTGTGGGGCGCAGGCGGATTTTGAGACGACAAACCTCCCCCTGCACTTCGTGCGGGCGAGAAAGCGGGATCCGACCTCGTACGGATCCGCTCGATGAGACAGAGTGCGTTCAACTTCGCTGTCTGTACAGGAGCTGTTTCCTCTCCCTACGCGTAGCAGCGGGGATGCCGCTCCTTAGGGCTGGGAGCATCCCGGTGTCCCGAACTCCGACTGCGTGCCCCGAGAACCTGCTGAGCTGGGCTGAGAATTTCCATCCATGCCCTCATCCAGGCTGTGCCTACACACACACACACGTACACACACCCGGTGAACGCACTCTGAGACCATTCAGAGCCGATTAACAGGTTTTAACTGATGTAGATCTTAACCTCCGTGCTTAGAGCCGTGCTCCAGGTACTTTATCCGCTAATGGTGTTGGGGTACTCAGGGAAGGAGGACAAGGAGAAAGTGGATTCTGTAACAAAATGCAGGAAATGGGTAACAGACACTCGCATAAGCTGATCTTAGATATAAGTGATTTCTAATACATCTCTCGAAAAATAATAGAAGGAATACTGCAGAATTAGGGCATGAGGACCAGCGCAACCGGCAGTTATTTTCGGTAACTTACAAACAGTTGCACACTTTATACTCGTGGGTGTTTCTAAGTGATACTTTCAGGAGGCACTCCGGTGCAGTGCCGTCACTTTCCTTGCTTTTGGCACGAACACCACGAGATGACTTACTTACACTCATTTTTTTTTTTCCAGTGGTGTCAAAGGTCAGTACCTTCAGCCCTCTCCTTATTGAGTGCACTCCTGATGATGGTTGAGAACCGAGCTGCCATACTGCTACGTGAAGCAGTGAGGGAAAACATGAACTAAAGAAATGGAGGTGGGAAAATCCACCTCATGGTCAGTAACAATTATCTACGTGCACTTCGTGCTTTGCCTTCTCTGTTCACAGTGTCAGAACTGTGGTACATCTCTGCAGTTCTGCAGCACCAGCTGCAATGTCTGCACAGAAGCTGGGAAGGGCAAGGGATTGGAAACGAACTTTGAAGGAATCCCAAACTTAGCAGAATCGCAGAACGTCCTGAGTTGGAAGGCGCTCACGAGGACCATCCAGTCCAACTCCAGGCTTCACACAGGATCACTTAAAAACCAGATCGTAATCATGCTGTACACAGTGTCCTTCATCATCCTCCGCCTCCTCGGAGACACTGCTCGGCTCCCACATCCCCCTCTCCCGCACCACGGCGGATTTTCTCCTCCCGCCCCATACAGCGGTGCCCTCACCTGAGCCGGGTTCCCGGGGCGGTCCCGCTCCCTCCCGCAGCCTTCCCCTGGCGCTGGACTCTCCCTGCCTGCTGCCCTTGTTAAAGGGGCCGCTTCGCTTCTGCCGAGCTCCTAGATGTAGTAGAGCCCGACGCCAACGGCCGAGGGCTCAGCCTGTCCCAAGAAACCCTCAGTGCACAAAACTCGCAGCATTTCAGATGAAACCCGCCTGAAGGCGAGCCAGCCCCTCGGCTGCACTGAAGCTCTGTCTCTGGCCTCCCCAAACCTCTGAGAACAGACGTGGTTGAGCCCCAAATGAGGGATGGGGCTCAGGGATCCCCACATTGGTACCCCTGCACTTCACAGCCTCCGGGATTGTCGACAGCTTTGCTGCGAGGGAAGCACTTTCCAAGGATTTAAATAGGAGCTTTGCTTGCTCTGGTCTCTTATCTATTTGTGGTTACGATTCTGGTTAAGTTTGTACATGTGAGCATGATATGCTAAGTCCTGTTGCTTAATGTTTTCTGGGTTGTCTGGGCAAACCTATTGCTACTCCCTCTGCCTTGCCCACATGGTGCTTAGGCGCCTGATGGCAACCGTGATGCAAACTGAGCCTGTGCCTGTTTTCCTGAGGAGTGACGAAGTGATGCCTCTCAGGAAGACACCATGGGATAAATCATTTATATGGGAAGGTGGCACAGGGAAGCAGCACCAGGCTTGAAAACTCAAATCCAGCTTTATCCTATTTCAGACAATGCTCAGTCTGTTGCTG